TTTTTCACACCACTCTCTGTGTGTGTGTGTGTGTGTGTGTATATATATATATATATATATATATATATATATATGTGAAGAGTTCCAATGCAAAAGCCTCTAAAAGCCATCTTGGTTTTTCATGTGTGCGTTTAAAAAAAAAAAAATTTTAATCAATAATAATATAAATGATATAATATAAAATAATATAAAATGATAATATTACTTACAAATAATTACATTCAATTGTATATACAATTTATATAAATATTTAGAATAGATGTAAACAAACTTACAGCTTAAGTCTTTTTTTGTGATACCAAAACCACAAGCTGCAAATGTATGTTTCAATTAACCAAAAAAATAAATAAATTGAGTACAACCAATAACCAGTAAACCCAGAATATTTCTTTAACTAGTATCAAACTAGTACTTGTACCAACTGCTTTTTATGCCATTTGCATCAATTTCATTCGAAAGCTTATCAAGGTTATGATAATCTTTATAAAGCAATATATGCTAGATACGGTGACAACAAACCTTTGCCCCTGGTAGCAGGCCTTGAGTTGGGGCCCTGCGGAAAGACACCAAGGCACTAACACTGAGAGGGAAACCTTGATTAAGCAACGATGGGGTTCGAGTTGGTTTCTTCCCTGAACACTCATCCTGTGCTTCCTCTGGGTGCTTCTCCAGAAAATACAGTTGAAAACAGCGGCAAAGCAGCAGGTTCAGGAACTGGGCCTTCAATTGAGTAAAACCAAGAAATGGAACACAATGAATTCTTACAGTGTTTGAGCAGTTTTTCTCATTTAAGCAAAGCAGTAACTTCTTGGCAATATCACTACTGTAACGTGTAAACCAGAAAACCACATCCTTCATTCTAGAACCGACATATGCAATATTACAATTACAATATGGCGCTTCTTAAACAAAGTGATTAATAACACACCAACCACAAAACCTTTGCTGGGTTTCGTCATGTTAATGCTTACAGCTCGGGCATGTCTGGCTCTGAAGAGGTGGCAATAGAGCTGGGCATCAGAATTGCCAGGATTATGGGAGACAAAGGCAAACTGGGCATCAGACGGACGGGCAGTGGACAGCGAGACTCGACACATGGCGTGAGCCATGAGGAGCGTCTGATGAGATGCATAAAGAGTTCAACCATGTGACATACACAAAGAGAAATGTCAGAAATCTTAAGACAATCTTACCGTTTCATCTTCATCATAAACTTTGACTCCCTTGACAGAGAACCTCAATGAGACTGTTCGCTTACTCTTGCAGCTCTGCAGATACAGAAGTTCACAAATCAGCTACATTACCAGCAAAGTATGATTATTTTCTAAATGTAATCGTCATTCAACTAAATTGAATAAACACTGAACTAAATTAAGCCGAACAGTGACAAGTGTGTTTTCAGAGCTGTTTAACAGCTGAAACTGTATTCGTTTTATAATTGAAGAACTTACTGTTATTTTCTTGTTTATTATTATTATAAAGCTGCTTTAAAACTTTTATTGTTTAAAGCCCTATATAAATAAATATGACTTGACCTTGTATAATAATAGCAAAGTCAGTAAAATGATGAAATACGTGAATGCATGTACATAATTTGTCTACAAAACTAATTGCAAGCACATACGCATATGCATTTAGATCAAAAGACTCTTAAGACCATTAAAAACGTATTTTGTCAAGTGTCCAACCTTTTGCATGGTAAACAAATATGAAAACGCAAACATACTCTTGAGACTCATTTAACTACACAAATTACCTTGAAAGCCTTCAGCTGAGTGTGCAGCTGCTGAATCTGATCATCCAAACAACTGTCATCCACCGGACATGAGCCAATATACTAGACAAATTGAGATTTTACTCAGCAAAAGCAACAAAACTATGTAATCATCCCAATGTGTGGCATGAAACCACAGGCTCAATTTCAAAATCAACTTAGTTTCAATATCAGAGGTACTGTATTTAAACATTTAAGACAATTTCACCTCAGCAGATCTTGTAACAATCCCATGTTCCCTTCCAGCTGTCTCACCCATGTCTCAATCTAAGCCTGGCTTCCTTTGCCTTACTTACTGTTCAAAAAAAGAGGGGCAAAAATAAGATAAGTCAAACAACAGGAATGACACACATTCCTCCAAGATAACGTTACAGGCTGTGCGGCGTTCAGCTTCGAAACGTGCCAAAATGAAAGTAGGCTATGTTTTGAAACACAGCCAAACGGTTTCCACAAAAATCGAAAGAAATGTTTTTTTACATACTGCTTTAATTGTAACGCTTGAGTAACACTACAAGGATCAAGAATGTTGCTGAAATAACTCACAGAAGAAACAAATACAAACTTACAAACATTCGTCCACGCGACTGAACCTGGCGGGGTAGGTCGATTATCCTCCGGGGTTTTTGCAATCCTGACTCACCTTATCCTCTAAATCCCGCCTATCTAGAGCCAGACTGGATTCATCGAAACAATTGAGCTCTCCGCCTCCACCACACAAGGATGAGGCACAGTAATTCGTTTCAGGCATTCAGACTCTTTGAAGTGAATCACAACGATTTTTCCGAGTCCCGTCAGTAGCAATAGATACAATAAATAATGTTGTTAGTGTAGAATATGATTTGTTTGGGCTCCCAAACGCGTATTATGCTGTTCACAACCCGATTCTAAAATATTATTAGATTATTAGCTTTTTATTTAAAATGACCTTTATGTTCACAACGTCCTTGTATACAGATTAGATAGCTAGTAATTCAGTACTTTACAAACGAACGGCCATTTATACCACAAAACGGCATGAATTCGCTTCGACTGAATTGATTTTATTTGCGATTCCGCTCGATTTTGATTCTTTAAAAGAAACCGATTAACTGAAAAGAACGATTCGTTGGCTAATCGAACTTAACCCTAAAACATATATGGTTTTCAACAAAAGTCTGTGGAAAAATGTTTACATCACAGCACTTACATTTTCATGACATTCATAACTTTTTATTTTTAATTTTCTAAGAAATTATATGTTAAGTAATGTAGTAGTTAATGTTCATAATCATCATGAGTCATCATAAAATCGAGAAAATTTGACTTTTATACTGGATACCTGGACATTGTAAAATTTTCTGCAATTCACCCTGTTGAAAAAAGCATATGCTGGTTATGTTTTGAAGCTGGGATGCTGGTTTTAGCTGGACCTTTGCTGGTTTAAGCTGGTCCTTAGATGGTCTTAAACTAGACGGACCAGCACATGACCAGCTTAAACCAGCATCCCAGCTTCAAAACATACCTAACCAGCATATGCTGGTTTTTTCAACACGGTCTGTAAATATACTTGAGATAGGCCTACTGTAAGCTCCAAGACAAGTCAAAGCAAGTCTCCAGACAAGTTGTTGTATGTAAACATTTCAGTGCTTAGTATACTAATTTAAAGCATGCCTTTTGTGCATGTTAGAACAGGAGTAAGAATTTGCTATGGTGAATTTAACATTAATAGAGCCTCGCTCTGATAAGGAGACAAACCTTGTATTTCAGTGCTTGAATCATTTGGTAACAGCTTTTAAAATTGCTGGTTTATCATTAACCTCAACTGAATTATAAACCAAGCCACCAAAACAAAACAATGGCCAAATAATGAAGTACAAATATAGTCACTTTATTAAGGACTACAGAAAAGTATATCAGTTGCATGCATGCAGGGTAAGGTGAGCAATGCTCATAAAATTACATCTAACCCCCCTGATAAACTAACACACAAGTGTATGACCGGGTTAGTAGTGCGTCAAATGTCTTAAACATCTGCTTGGAAAATCTTTTCAACTTATATTCTTCTTCGTAGACTATACAGAACAAAAAGACAGTTGTGGATATGGATGCCAATGTTTCTTTAATGCATCTTAATAAATCCAATTGTGCATTCATTTAGACTGTTCAACTGAAAGTTAGGCATCAATAATCGTTCTTTACTTCGACTTACACGAAAGAACCAACATCAACAAAACGTTCTTGATTACAATAGTAGCTAAAGACCTAAATTCACAAAACATGACCTCCCAAAAAAATGGAACTAAAATTTACAAAGAGAGTTTTCATGAACACTGATGAGAAAGGGGCGACTGAATAACTGAAATGCTTGCCTCTACAGAAAGACTGACTACAGGAACTTTAAATAATTGATTTTTTCTTGATACACAAGCGAGAACAGCTCCTTCTAGATGTTCTCATAACGGTGACCTGAATGAGCATCTTAACAAACAGTAGCATTTCTATGCTATACCTTTACCTGTAATTTAAGAATATTGAACATAAAATGCCTGTATTTGAATGGCAGAATAACTCTGAAGAGGTCCTATATTCATCAGAGGCCCCAAGACGAGGAGAACATGGAAGTTTAATCAAAAATAAGAGGAGAAAATAGCCAGCACTGTAGTCTACGGAGTTACGGTTGATCTTTTCAGTCGTCAGCAAGCGCGGGATTCATTTCCGGGCTCGTAGTGACTTGCGGGCGGCAGGTTTAGCCTTCACAGCTGATTCAGTTGCCTCCTTCTTAGCTGCCTTGGGCGACGGCCGTTTGGACCCCCTGCTTGTCATCTTTTTGGCTACTGGTGTTTTAGGTTTACTGGTCGGGGCAGCTTTCTTGACTGGTGTGGCTTTAACAGGCTCTGGTGCCTTTCTAGATGCAGCTTTGCTCGCAGATGCTGGTTTCTTGGCTGGTGGAGGGGCTTTTTTGGCCGATGCAACTGATCTCTTTGAAGCAGGAGGTTTTCTGCTGACTGTTTTAGACCTTTTATTTGGACGAGCCTTAGACGCAGATGTCCGGTTTGCACGCTGGGTCCTGTGGACAAGCAGAAAGCATGCAAAGACACAGTCTAAACCAAAAGTCTCTATGATATTCTGAACTGTAGAATTTGTACAGTTTGCGGTTTTTTCACCCCTTTTTATCATCCATCCGCAAGGTTTATTATGCAGGGTTTCAAATCTCTAGAGCTGAGAATGATCACAAAGATAATATATCACACTGATACTGTTTATGTGATGTACTTCACCTCTTTCTTCGCGGAGGCTCATCCTCATCGGATTCCTCCTCTTCAGATTCTTGCTCTGACTCTTCTTCGGATTCTTCATCAGAATCATCACCTCTCTTGCGTTTAAGCTTCTGTTCCTCCTGTTTAAGTTTTTCCATCATTTCTGGAAACAGAACCGCTGGGCTGCAGGAGGAGTAATAGAACATTTGTTAATTTCAAGTTCTCACCTTTATCACACTTCTGACAAAACGGACAAACATCAAAAATTACCTCAAAAAAAAAAAAACCTTGGTTTCACCAAGTTCCCTCTAAAACAATGCAATTTATGTTGTGGCTGAATTGTTAAGAGTTAAAGGGATAGTTCACCCAAACCCAGAAGACGTGGTCTCAAAATGGTTTTGGACCACACTGGCATCCACTTTATGGACAAAAACAGCTGAAACATACTTCAAAATATCTTCATTTATATTCCACAGAACAAATAAAGTCACTAAGCTTTGAAATGACATGAAAGTGAGTAAATGATGATAAAATGTTTATTTTTGGGTGAACTATTCCTTTATTATCTTTATTTCAATTCCCAAAAACAATTTTTAACAATTTTAGTTTTAGTTAACAGTAATAAACTGGCTTACGGTGAGCTGAACTTACCTCGGGTAATACGGATAGCTTAGCTGGTATGACCCACTGAGTCCATGGCCAGAAATCTGCTCCATCCATCCCATCATTTTACACTTCTGCAAGGTTCGCTTCAGGTTTGACACTAGCCATAAGAGAGAAAACATTCACAAAGATGCTGCATAACACATTCATTTGCAACAAGTACAGGGAGATATAAATGTGATCCTGGACCACAAAACCAGTCATAAGGGTAAATTTTTTGAAATTGAGATTTATACAACCATTTGAAAATCTGGAATCTGAAGGTGCAAAAAAATCGAAATATTGAGAAAATCGCCTTTATAGTTGTCCAAATGAAGTTCTTAGCAATGCATATTACTAGTTTCTATATATTTACAGTAGGAAATTTACAAAATATCTTCATGGAACATGATCTTTACTTAATATCCTAATGATTTTTGGCATAAAAGAAAAATCGATTATTTTGACCCATATAATGTATTGTTGGCTATTGCTACAAATATACCCGTGTGACTTATGACTGGTTTTGTGCTACAGGGTCACAAATGGTGGCTGTAATATAAACAAGGACCGATCAAGACAACTATTTATGTAACAACGTTCTTGTGAACAACAATTAACAATTAGAAGCAACCGCAAAACAAAGGCAAACTTGATTCAGTCCTCAGAGAGAAAACTCTCCCTAGGCTGCGATGAGTGAGGAGTTAGTGTACCGTACCGACAAAATAGTTGTTCTGCTCCTTCTGTCTCTCCATCAGGAATTTGCGCAGTATGGTGATGCTGCAGGTCTTGGGCTCATTCATGGCTGTGATGGCGGCCACTATGGCATCTTCCAGCAGTCCGCCACCCATAAGCACTTTATTCCCAGCCTTCTTCAACTGTCAAATGCAAATGCAGATTCTCATCAAACCTGCTTTTAGGTGCTGAGCGATGCAGAAGGGTAACTAACCTGGAATGTTCCAGAAGCTCCCTTGCCAGTGATCTGCTCCAAGTAGCCCTTTTCAACAGATTTTTGCAGGCAGTTCTTCAACACTTCAGGCCTTAAGAGAGATTTACAGAACAACCCAAATTTTACAATCTTTCAGGCAAAATGTACATACACAATTTAAATTTGTAACTAACTAATCATGACAAAATCTGGTATGTACTATGTACCATATGCAAACGTTTTGCATGCACAAAGTAATACTTTTATTCAGCAAGGATGCATTAAATGAATCAAAAATGTTTGTAATATTTCACAATATTAGTGTCTTACTGTATCAAATAATTGCAGCCTTGGTGAACATAAGAGACATCTTTCAAAAACATTAACAATTCGTACATATCCCAGACTTCTGAATTATAGTAGTTTATCACCAATCTTCCCAATGTTAAGTAAATACTTCTAGTGCTGTCAAACGATTAATCGTGATTAAAAGTTATTGTTTACATATGTATGTGTATAGTGTTTATTTAATATGTATATATAAATACACACAAATAAATGTATATATTTCAGAAAAATATGTTGTTTATATATTAAATATATTTATATATCATATAAATTATATGAATATAAATATATACATGTAAATATTTACAAGATATATCCTGTATGTGTGTATTCATATATACATAACTATACACAGAACACACACATATATTATGTAAACAAAAACTTTTATTTTGTATGCGATTAATCGCGATTAATCGTTTGACAGCACTAGTTCAAACTGTAGTCTAGTTATAGGACGTTGCCCTAAAAACAAGTCAATAATGACCTGCTATCCACGTTGAGTTGTGGGAAGTGTTGCTCCAGGTACTTCTTGATCAAGATGTAG